ACATTATAAATTCTTTGTAAATAGAAAAGCATATCTTAGAAGAGTTAATATCATAGGTTTGCTTTAAAGCGTTTATAGCAACATTCTAGAGCAAATTCAAAGTATGTGTGAATAGAGGTAACAATTGTCTGATTTATTATTTAGATGTTTATTTAAATTTCTCAACTTTATATATGACAAAATTTGAACATTTCCAGAAAAGTCGCATCGGAGTTACTCGAAAGCAAATCCTACTATTATAGGATCAATTATATCAGTAAAAATAGGCAAATGGAGAAAGGAATAGCTAAGATACCAAAATTAATGGAGCATAACAGGAAGGATGCAAACAGATTTTTACATCTGCATTTTTGCCATCCAATAGAGAAGATGCTTTTCATCTCCTATATAATGTGTTAGCTATCATACACTGTTAAAGCAAGCATATTATGGAAAGAAGCTCTGCAAAGAATGTGGGAATAGGCAACAATGCGAGAATAATTAATATAAGGAATATAATGAAGCATTTAAAGATATAGACTACGAATGGAATATACATGACAATATAAATAATAAAACAAAGTTAAGCAGAGCTGATAGGATATTAAGGGGTATTAAAGGAATACATTATGATATTGTTAAAGTCATAGTAGATTGATGATAAAACTCACAGGCCAAGGATATGCCAAGTGACGGGGAATCGATTGAGGCAGGCGTTTATTTAGCATGTGTTGCATTATGGTTTGCTGATCTTCGTTAATAGGGCCTTCAGGAGCACATACAAGAGGGAGCGACACTAAATTGGGATCCCAGACCTCAAGCCTTGGATCGTGGTCGCCAGTTATCCAAGGGTGCTGTAAACAGATCCACGCAGTAGCTCGGTGCGCTGGATTATATGCAAGCATGGGTTCCAGGAAAGAAGTGAAGCGTAGCGCCTCGTGAATGTCCCATTCGTATTTTTCAGTCAGTACGCTGCAAAGGTTCCAAGGTTTGAGACGACGAATGTGACGAAGACAAGCTAAATTTTATGGATTAAAAAGGTAAACAATAAATACTTATATAAAAATTA